ATTTTTAGAGTTATTCGTTTTCGTTGATTCACCCTTTAGTGAGTACGTCATACTTAAATTGAAATTTTGCTATATGAAATGGTGTATGTTTAATTTTAATAAATGGTGTGGAGGAGAATATAGGTACCCATGTTTTCTGATTAATTGAAACGATGTACAATTAAAACCCCTAGACAAACTTTTTTTGTTGTATCTCTAATATGGAATGAGCTAAGGTTGAGTCCCTCACACTTACACGACGATTCCACAACACAACTCAAAAGATACTTCCAACTTTTCATCTTTCCTCCCTAATTGACCTCTTTGAAACCGTGACCTTGTCAACATCCTAGCAACTATGAGCTTTGCAAGCGTGATTTAATTTCTCTCTCTTTTGACTCTTATGGAAGTTAGCACGATGTCTCATTAAGAAGGTATCTATATTTTAGTGGATTGAACAATACCAACGAGCTAGCACTGATCATGCGGGATAGGCATGATTAATGTAACTTACTACAAAGCACGAGTGAACTTGGCTTATTGATCTGGCCAATCAGGGTGACTATTACGAGACGCGTGTGGAGGAGTGAAATTTCATTGGCATAAAGAGAGGAGGGTAATGTAGTTTTGTTCTTGCAGTGTTTTTCCCACCTGTAAATTTTCTTCCTTTGTTTAACTTACTTACGTTTTCTTGATCTCTTTTTTTTCCCTCCCTCTTAGGTTTTTCCCTCTCTCTTTTTCCCTCCTTTTTTTTTTTCCTCTCTTCTCATATTGTAATTTCTCAAGTGTGATCCTCTCTATTAATCATAGTAAGTTGACATATCTCTTAATACACTGACATTCTACAACAGTGATGATTACCAAAGTAATGATAGTCCTCTCATGTGATTGAGTAGGATGTTTGATTTTCCATTGCAGCTCTCTTTACTTCTGAATCAACGAGATTCACCCCACCCTCCCTTTGCTTAAGACTCTTCCCCTCAGAATCTCCATATCACAAGCAAAGGCATTAAGTCTGTCCGTGGGATGTAAGAGATGCAAAAGCCAATATTTATGAGCCCTACAACTTCCCCAAAAGAGTAATATATTGTTTATGGTTCGTGGGATCAGGCTCTGTGATAGTTGAGGCGGACTTCCTCCACTTTGTCATAGTTGAGACGGCCTCCCCTCCCTATCCTTTCAGCAATACAACAAATTTACTATAATCCCCTGCCCACCATGATTGTTTTTTGGCCCAAAACTCTGTGCTTTGAGTGTAGGTGCGAGGAAAGGTATGTCCATCAAGGCTTTGCCCACATTGCGTATAATGATATAGACACTAGGATCGATGCACGTGGCTGAGAGCATCCACTCGTACTTCGAGCTTTACGAGCCCCACAGGAGACATAAGGTGGAGCTTCACAACCCCAAGTACACTCCAAAATTGGTCCACTGCGGGAAGAGACGACATTGATGCCTGACCCGATATTATATATATATATACATATATATTTCCTATTGTGGATCAGGAATAAATTGCACCTTCACCCTGCCCTTTTAGCCTTTTCGCCCACGAGTCCCCCATTTCATCATTAATTACCCTGATAAACTTGATCAACAGAGATCTCAGCTTTAGCTTGGGGCTCCACCCCCACTTCCAAGACCCCTTTACACACTTTCAGTTTTTGTCCTTACTCTGACCAAAAAGTCACTTCGGGCATCAAGTCAGTCCGTAGTTTTTGGGATACAACAAGCTTGTTTCATGCATGGACACATACGCTCCAGTCTACCCATCATTGCACCATGGATCAAAGAGGAAAAAGAGGAAATATTAGTGTATATCATGTGTGACATGACAAACTTAAGGTGCGACGCAATAATGGGTAAAGATCGATATGTATGGTCTAGAAAGGTTGCGGTGTTGGAAGGGAAGGAACTTCAAAACGCTCGGTAATGGCAGGAAGCTGCAGCAATAGAGTGATTGCTTGAGCTGCATGTGTCACCACCCTTCACGCACCTCTATCCCACCAGCTCATGTGCAGTCAAGTGATTGTGGAGAAGTGACGAGGAGAAAAACTAAATTGTGCAAAAAAGGGACAAACAAAAAAAAGGGAGAAGCAGGGGTATGTGAGGAGTTGGCTACCAGTACCTTGCGTGCACACCAAACTTCATTTTCCCAATGACCAGCATGAAGAAGTGGCAGTAAAAAACGAAATGTATCACCACTGCCACTAATATTGACTTTACAAAGCACGTTTTAGGCAGCAATTGTTTCCCACATCTCACCCACAGAAGGAGAAGAATGGGGCTCTACAGGTAGCAGCAGGGAGAAGGGAATGCATTATTTCTCTGCTGCCATAATTTTTTTTTGCTGTGGAGATATTTTTGCTCCATGTGTTAAACATGTTTTAAAGTTTAAACGTGTTGTAAACACGTTTTAAACATTTTAAAATCATTTTTCCATATAAGATCAGCACGCAATGTGCTCCTGATCTCTTTGGAGATTTTCTGTCGATAGCACTTGGCATTTTCTGGAATTTTTCTGATTGCTTGCCGCCAAGCCTACCGGCCTACTCTCTGGCCTGATATGGGCCCTAGATTGTGCATAAAATTGTGATCCGGACACTAAGGCCTAACCATTCATATAAGGGGCGAGAGTTCAAAAGCCTCAAAGGAGGTATCTTATGTGAATGGTACATCAGTCAGTACATTACAGATGCCCAATCACACATTGTTCTAAGGGCTGGCCACCTGCACGTACCATACCATGAGAGAGTCAGTTGGTCGATTGAGGTCAACTATGGTGGAACCAAGTGCTGACACTTCTATACAGAGTTGCTTTCTTTCGATTTTTTCTTTCTCATTTTTAACTTCTTCTTTTTCTAGGTCCTACCCCTTATGGGACCCCTTCCCACCCTTCCTCTCGTGAGTGGCACCTGTCACAGTCAGTGTTGTCACTCAGAGCAGCACCAGTCGCGGTTATCAGCAGGTCCACAGCCACCCTCTGCTCCCAAAACTGTATCATCAACCAAACCTACTTTAATCTCTTTGTCAACACTCAGAGCAGCACCAGTCGCGGTTATCAGCAGGTCCACAACCACCCTCTGCTCCCAAACCTGTATCATCAACCAAACCTACTTTGGTCTCTTTATCAACATAGGAAGCTGATAAACACTCCGCTACGAAACCCACTACTATGCAATCATCCACTCCACTAGGCCTATCAAGCCAGTCCGTTCCCTTCCCTACCGCTATATCCATACTATCCAATTTACTATGTGATAAAATGGTTGTTCTGACTTGTTCATAATTGAACCCTGAACCTTTCCCATGCAACATCCGAGCTTAACATACTGAGCTACTCTATCATATGATCTATCTGTGTTGTACTAGGCTGGGGGACAAGTATGTGTGGCGCCAACCTAGCACGAACTGATAATGGACAAGGGAGATTGTGCTTAGTTGGTAGAGCATGAGGCAACCTAATGGGGTCAGGTACAAATCCTGCTATACCCATAAGGACATTGTGGAATCGGTAAACATGCTTATACTCCTTTCAGGCAATTAACTAGTATAGAAGAAATGACAAGGTGAATTTAGTTTATACACCACACTTAGGATGTGGCGACACTCCATAATCTGTGGATTTCAGTCCTGCTAGCTGTACACTAGAAACGATGAGTGTGACATATGTGCAACTGTTAACTTTACTATAAACAAGTGGACCTGCCTCAACTACGCTGCTGCGAAGTTGCCGGGGGGGGGGGAGGGGAAAGCAGTCCTAATCACACATAATCAAAAAATTGAGAAGAGAGGGAAAAAAAAAAAAAGTTGAAATCACCACGTGTGTGCATGCTGTGTTTCTGCGTGGTCCCATCGCGGCCCCTCCTCCTGCATGTCGTCCCTCCTCCTCGATCGTTGTGGTCGTCGCCGCCATCATCATCAGGATCAATCCTTCCTCCTTTGCTTCCATCCTCGATCCTCTTCCCGCCATCATCATTTTTGACCTACTCCTCCCCCTCGCCCAACCTCCTCCTCTCCCTTGTGCGACCCCCCTCTCCCCCTCCTGCGACCTCCTACTCATCCTTGCATGACCTGCTCCTCCCCCTCGCTCATCGTCTTCCAGCCTCCTCGTCCCCCTCGTGCAACATCCGTGTGACCTCTGCGCAACCTCCGTGCGAGCTCCACGCGACCTCCTCCTCCCTCTCTTCCGACATCCTCCTCCCCCTCGTGTGACCCCCTCCTCCCCCTCACGCGACCTTTTCCTCCTCTCGAAGATGCGACCTCGTACCCATCTTCCGATCTCCTGTGACGCCCAAACCTCACGCCCAACGCGACTTCCTGATCGGAGTAGGTTGGGGGCCTGGAAGTGCGAAAAGGGGTGTGCCAAGGATTTTTGGGAAAGTGGAGTCCCAGGTCGGAACTGAGATCTCCTGTGATAGGGTCTTTCAGGGGCATGAGTGTAATTTGGCGGAGAGGGCGGGTTCGGGTTACAGGGCAAATGGTATGCGCGGGTCGCTCAAGACCGAGCGAGCCACTGGTTTCGGGGACCGTGGTTCGCGGGCTGGTCCCTTCGGGGTAGGTGGGATTCCGATGAGCCTGTCTGTCGGGAGTTGCCACGTGGCGCTGGTCGGCGCGCGTTCGGGTTACGCCTCCGGAACTCCGGGGTTCTCTGATCGCCTCGTCGTCGCCAGTTCTCGCAGGGTGTGCTGGGCCAGTAGCGGGCTATGGCCCGCCACGGAACGACGCTGAGTTGATGGTACGGAAGAAGAAGGCGAAAGGGAGGGAAACTGGTGGTGATGACGACAAATCCGGGGTGGATGAAGTAATAAGTATGGTCCGGAGAAGGGAAATCAAAACACCGGGGGTCGCTAGAGGTAGCGCAGTGGAATTCTCGGGGACACAGTCGATTCTCAGTGTGGCAGGGGTACCTCTGCCTCAGGATTTCGTTTATCCAAGGGGTGAAGTAATCCGGGTCGTATGATGAGTCGGAATTCCATGATCGCGTCATCGTGTCATGGCGGTATAATGAGTTGCCTCAGGGCGGATCCGTGGTGATCGCGGTCGCCGCGTGCGAGCACGTGCAGGCTACGCGAACGGCGTCTGACCTACGCGTGCTCGTGCGGGACGACTGCGCCGCTGCGGATTCCGGGAAGGTCGTTCCCAATTAGGTAGGGCATCGACGATCGATGGCCTCTGACGAGTCGATGCCCGGGGATACGCGTAAGCGCGCAACTCAAATCGCGTTTTACACGTGTCCTCGCGCGGCGTTCGCCAAGCCCGGCATCCGATCGTCTAATTACTCCGTGATGTTCTGAGTATGCAAGATGCAACGATCACAACAGCTCGATCAAAGGACAAGCAAGACAAGGACAGGATTATTGATTGCGCAAAATTCCTATTCTACACACGAGTGCATCAAATGCGACAAACAAAAAGCAAAGACAAGGATCCGGTAGAAAGATAAGCGATCAATCATGGCATCCATACATCCATACATTCAACAATCATACACACAGTGCCTCGGAGGTGGGAAAAATCACAAGGACAAGTGTGAGCAAAAACCCAAGTCCAAATTCCGACAAGCAAAGATCGGGCAAACCGCCCAGAGCCGAAATCAAAACTTATATACACGAGACATGAGGGAGAAAAGATAAAGAAAACAACAACTCCGCATCTATCAACCTCAACTCTCTCTCTTCCTCTCTCTCTTCTTCTCCCATCCGGACAGTCCGTCGTCGCGCACGAACCCACGAAGCCGTCACCCCGCTTAGTCCTCTCGCACCCGTCAGGTTCGCCCGCGCCCACAGTCCGTCGTGACCCGCGTCAACCCCGCGCGTTTGGCACCAGCTCGTCGGGTCGCCCGACTCCTTCTTTACTCACCTCTTACTTCGCTCGTGTGCCGACCCTTCCTGATCCCACAACCCCGAGCTTCCAACAACCGGTTAAGAGAGTTAACTAATCGCGCAGCCAAAATTTATAGCGTGCATGCATGCGCGAAGAATACGGAATTACAAGGACTTAAGAAGGGAAGGGGGAGGGATTGCCTACGTCTGCATGGTCTAATCGCGGCGTGGGGGACGTAGCCGCTCTCCACGCATCGGTCCGATTATGCAGATCGTGGCCACCAAAAACGTAGCAAGATAAAAGAGAAGAAGGGCGAGAAAGACGAAGCGCAAGAAGAAAGATACAGTTATAATGGCGCCCGCCCAAAATTACAGTTACACACACGATTAAAGGCGCCTACTAATCAGAGTTCCGTTGCAGCCGCATGAAGAAGCGCGTAGACAAAAAGCGCCGCGCGGCAAGAAAAAAATCCTAATTACAAAATTCCTAAAGTCCTATCTAATGCGAAGAAGCAAAAAGTGCAAATTCCAGAAAGTCCGAAATTCCTAGAGCCATCGAGGCTCGACAAGATCCGAAAAAGATTTAAAAGAAAAATTCAAAAAGGACGAAGCAAATTCCCGCGCGATGTTTGCGCCCAAAAGTTTGGAATCCGGAACAAAAGAAACAACGTCAACATTTATTAATTGCGCGTGCGGTGGCGCGCCAGCCATTCGGTCAACCAATCAATCAACCGGCCGTCCTAGGACGCACCCAACTCCAAACCCAGTCATTCGAAAAGAAGCGACGAAAAAGACGAAAAAGCAAGGACACTGATGCAATTTTCCACCGATCCCGATCTCCCGTAATTGGCCCAA